GATTTGGATTTAGTTCCAGATTTTGGTTGCTAGTGTTTGCACCTAAGATTTTTGGATTAGCCCAGTGTGAGAGGCTAGAATGATAGGTAAGAAACAATGAGCATCCCTAATGAAATCAGAAGTGTCATGTTACTTAGCGACAGGTTTCAGAGTAGCAGCCATGTTAGTCTGTATTCGCAAAAAGAAAAGGAGGACTTCTGGCACGTTAGAGACTAACAAATTTATTTGAGCATACGCTTTCATGAGCTACAGCTCACTTCATTGGATGCATTCAGTGGAAAATACAGTGGGGAGATTTATACACATAGAGAACATGAAACAATGGGTGTTACCGTACACACTGTAACCAGAGTGATCACTTAAGGTGAGCTATTACCAGCAGGAGGGCAGGGGGAAGGGGGAACCTTTTTTAGTGATAATCAAGGTGGGTCATTTCCAGCAGTTGACAAGAATGTCAACTGCTGGAAATGACCCACCTTTGTCAACTGCTGGAAATGACCCACCTTGATTATCACTAAAAAAGGTTCCCCCTTCCCCCTGCCCTCCTGCTGGTAATAGCTCACCTTAAGTGATCACTCTGGTTACAGTGTGTACGGTAACACCCATTGTTTCATGTTCTCTATGTGTATAAATCTCCCTACTGTATTTTCCACTGAATGCATCTGATGAAGTGAGCTGTAGCTCACGAAAGCTTATGCTCAAATAAATTTTAGTCTCTAACGTGCCACAAGTACTCCTTTTCATGTTACCTAGCGTTCACTCAGCTGGGTTAGCCGTATAGTTTGTGTTAAAAGTGTTAGTTGAAAATCTTAATACAAAAAATGGAGCTAGAGAATGCAAGTTTGTGAAAACTGGCTTCTGGTTTAGATTTTTAGTTTTTACGGACAGAAGGAACCTTATGATCATGTAGTCTATCCAGAGATGGATTATGGTTTTGTGGGACCCTGGGCCAGAGCAAGTGGGGGCCCATCCTCACCCCTTCCGCCCGCAGTCATCCTCCCGTGGTGCTCCTGCTGGGGAGTGGGGTTTGGGCACGGGGGCTTGCCCCACTCCACCCGTCTGGAGCTCCTGCCGGGGAAGGGGTTGAAGGCACAGGGGCTTCCCCATTAGGAACGCCAGGCAGACAGAGTGCTTGGGATGCAGAGGCACCCATTTTTCTGGGACCCCCCCGCCCCCAATTGGTTGGGGCCCCTGTGCACGGGCTCCGTTAGCCCAGTGGCTAATTCATTACTGAATCTATCCTCCTGTGTAACATAGGTTGTGGAGTTCCACTGTAAACCATAGACGTTTCCAAAGCTTGTATGCGTTTGGGTCAAAGTGTTTGATTTAGATCCATCTCTGTTAAGTAAGCAACAAAAGAAGAGTGTGCAGTTAGATCAAGATATCCTAGAAGAAGAAGCAGTAGCAATGAAAAAGGTCTCTTTGTTCATCTACCTTATAGATTGTTCTCTGTGTAGATACTCATTTAGTGTAAGTGCATTCAGTCTCTGGAGAGAAGAAGAAATTTACCGCCACCAACACTTCTAGTTTCACACTTCTGGCCAGATGTGTTATGGGTGTTTTCACCCTTTCTCTGGAGTATCATATATTGAACAATGCTGGAAGCCAATACCTGACCTGATGTATGGTGAATTTCTATGTAACATGTTGTTTGTTGTGAAAGAGGCCCAGTTTACATTACTGCCGTGTTAGTTTCTGTCTTTGGAAAACATGTTCATTTCTATATGAACAATGTTTTAAAAGTATGAGGTTAAGCTGGGACCTAAATTTTGATGGCGTTCTGAGTTCTTTGTACTGTTGTGTACAGCAAAGCTGTAGCTTCATGTCAGTCTGTGTCTGTCCTGTTACCATAGTGAGATTCCCTTGTTTCAACTCCGAGACAGTGTATCCTGGAGAAAATGAATTTATTTCTGGCTGTTATCATGTGTGAACCCTTGGTGGGAGAGAATGTGTCTGTTGCTGGGGAAGAGTGATTTACAGCAGCATTCTTGCTGAAAATCTCCGCTGATAAAATGCTTTGGGGACAAATGGCTCTTGGTTTCTGTGCAATTCAGTTCAGCTAATGAATAAGGCAGCAGATGGCAATTAGAGGCAGCTGGGCTTTCCAAGGGAGCCTTTGGTCTAAGATACAAAGAAGAAGAGAGTTTAGTAGGGGTTGAAGCAGAAGGTGCTCACACACCAATGGTGCCGTGAAAACGAGATTTCCAAACTCACTACACTTATTTAGCCTTCAGACTAAGGGAGGGTAACTTAGAATCTCTTCTTGGGCCTTAGAAGCCAGTGCCAGTAGCACATTATGGAATCTACTAGGAAGGAGTTTTCACGTGAGAGGTGTGGTTGGAACCTGGGGCTGGAGAATGAAAGGATTAGAGGGTGTCGTCAGCATGGTGAACCTGGGCACCTAGGGAGCCTGGGATGGCTTCCTTGGTTGCACTTAAACCTGCTGTAAATCCTCTGAAATTGGGGTGGTTGGAGCTTTGATTGTGGATGGAGCCTGAGAATACCCCCACTCTGTCTTCCCAAATTAACTCTGGAATATGGGGTTTGGTTTTGTGCTCCTCTCTAGCTCTGATGAGACATCTAGGCAGTGATTTTCAAAGGGACCTTAGGGAGCTGGACTCCCAACTCCCTTAGGACAAATCCTATTGTAAGCAGTTAATGAAGCTTAACCTTCCTGGACCAGACATATTTTAGTTGTAAGCCAGGTGCGATTTATTTTGGTTTTTAAGGCAAGCTCTTTCACTTTGATTTCACTTAAAATTCAAAATGGAATTCAGGTGGAGTGCCATTACAGAGGAGAGAAGCCTTCAGACTATGAAATGGCAATGTGTATTTATACTGAAAGCCTTTCAGGTGCGGACTGTTTCTCGTAGAGCGATTAGGTGTGCCTGGTAAATGATGAGGACCATACTGGTTTGATCCCTGTATGGTGGCAGCAGAATGCAACTCTTTGTTGAGTGCTGGTCCCTGTGGGTACTCACTGTGCATGAGTTGGTGCACCATGCGCATGAAACCAGAAGACTTTTCAGTGTCCATTGGTTCATGCCAATGCCTTTATCCCTCCCTCTGTTGATCAGCTCTGAACTGGGAATAGAAGAGGCTGCACGGAGCAGCTGTCTCTCCAATTTCTTCCTATTGCTCATGGTCAAGCCTCCATATGTACGCTCCCAGAGCACAGTGCTGAGCAGTGTGGGACCAGTTGTCTTCAAAAGTAATTAATAAAACGCCCACCATCACAACAGGTGCTTTTGCTGGCAGGCCCACTACATCTGATACTAATTGGCTCCCTTGCTGTCAACCTCAGCAGCGAGGCCATTGATTAAATGGGGCGTGGAGACTAAACTGTCCTCTCAGCCTCTAGGAAAGGCTCATGTTGATGGAGCTGTGTGGGGAAAGCTTGCACTGCTGCTGTTGCCTATGTTGTCCTTGTTCTGTGGATAAACAATGGACGTTGGCATCTAGGGCTGTCAACCCAGCAAAACTAACTCTCTGTGTAATATACGGAAATGACTCTTTTTTACAAAGATGTCGTTGTCTGGCCCCAGGGCTGCAGGTTCGTTGTTAAAGCAATGAACAGTTTAGAATGTAACCTGCTGCCCAGCTCGTGGTGGAACTGTAAGGGAAAAGCTGGCGCGAAGGAGTAATACGGTGTCTCGCTCTCTGTCACTGTCAGTCCATCAAGGACGTCCTCACTGGCCTTTATTGTTCCACTCAGAACGGGTTTTCAGCAAAGCGGGTCAGACACGTGGTCCCCTCACATCCACTCACTAATTGACTGGAAATAAAGCAATGGACGAGACAAATTAACTCTGATTTCAGGCCCATCTCTTCGGTGGTGCCTGATGGTTCTGGGGTCACAGTAATTAAGGCTAATGTGTTATTAGAAATCTACCAGTAGCTTTGATTTGGTGCCTCAAATTAACCACATAGTGAGGTTTAAGTTGCTTTAAAGCAGTGGCTGGTATAAGGAATGGATTCCCAATTATGATCTTTTCTGGCTAATGGCTGTATGGTATAGTGCTGTGGGACCTCGGGGTGTTGCTTCATACAGGTCTTGACGTGGCACTAGTTGAATTCAAATTCTGCAACTTAGAAATTACAGTTATGGTGCCTTGTCTTGACTGCTGATCACACTCAATTTCCAATTGAAGGACCTGGGTCGCAGGGTTTGAACCCAAAACAGTTAATCTGCCTCTTTGCTTTGATCTGCTGTTCATGTGCAAATCCCTTTCTTGCTTCAGCTGGGACATAGCCTAGCACACTGGTTGATCACAAATGCTTGATGTGAACAGATCGTTCCAGTTAGTGTGAATGAGAGTCACCTGCCCAGCATTCACAGAAGGGAGAGAATATCCCAGGAACCCATCTCTGTTCAGAGGTCCCAATGGAGAATGAAATAGTTAAAAGAAGGAAACTAGAGTTTACATTCCATAAAGCTGCATGAACGGGGCTGGGCTTTCCCCTACTTTGCAGAGACCAAACAGTCTTGATTCTGGGTGACAGAAGATTTTCCAACTTTTGGGGTTGGTGGTTTTTATTAGTAGTTCAACAGAATAGTAATCTAAAGCACAAGAAGAACCTTCTGTACCTAGGCTCCTGAGCCAGGTGGTGCTTATTTCACAACCATCAAAGTGCGTAGATCTTTGATGGAGTGGACTCAGTGGATGTTTTTGCAGTTGACTTCAGCGGGAGCAAGATCAGGCTCCCATAGCTCAATAGTTGAGGTGATGTGAAAGCATTTTTTTGATGGTTTCCTGCCTGTACGCCATTGAAGAATGGACATTTCCTGCCCCAGGAACTTGCTTTTACAGCCAAATGGGGAATAACATGAATAGCATAACTACTGTGGGTGGTGCCCCTACTGTCCATCAGCAACCGGAGCAGCATATCGCTTGGAAATCCTCCATTTTTATTAACAGTCTCAGTTCGGGGAGGGGGAAATTACATAATCAAATTGCAGCTCAAACACTGAACTTATGAACATATGTTGTTTCCTGCAGTGACCTTCGACCACTTTGAAATTTTGCGAGCCATTGGGAAAGGCAGCTTTGGAAAGGTAAGCTCCTCAAGAGTAAAACTACTGTGTTCTCAACAGAGACTGTAGCTAGCCAAGTAATGGGCACATTAGAGAGCTTAAATTTCAGAGCTTATTGCAGAGTAATGGAATATTGCTTGTCGATGAGATTTGACCTGAACTTCAGCTCCTAATAATCCAGGAAGAGTCTCTAAGTTTGACTTGTCATCCATTTGGAATCCACAAATCCTATTACAAGATATTAAACTGAAGTTAATGATAAACCCAATCAGCTGAATTTCATTATGTTAGATGGGTAAACATCCTCTGAAGGGAGACTCCCCCACCAAAGCCCACTTGAGCATCCTGGTGTCTCTTTGACAAAGCATTATGATTCTCCGAGAGCAGCACTGCAGGGAGCAGAGAAACATCTGTGTTTGAAGTCCCACTTTTGGGAATTAAACATCCTGTTAGGGCTGTGGGTTTTTTCAGTATGGTGAGTTCTGTGACAAAACCCATGTCTGGAAGATGCCAAAAGCCCAGAGGTTTGATGGATCAGCTGTGCTACACTAGAAAGATTGTGCTGGTCCTTATAGATAGGAGATGCTGTCACACTAGTACTCACAAGTCCTGCCTGCAGGGAGTGAGGCTGTCTCGGTGAATGCCCTCAGCTCTTATCCTACAGTCCTGCTTGGCGAAAGGGAGGGTCAGGAAGCAGCATGCAACACATGAATGGTGGATAATTATGGGAAAAAAGAGATTTGTCAGTTACTTAATAAATCTGCGATACCCCAACTTTGCTGTGACAAACTCTGTACTCTGTCATTCTTCTTAGCATGAATATTGACTGCAGCACTTACTGGTGATGTGCAGGGTTAAATCATAAGTGCATGAGGCTGTGACCTAGTGACTTGAATCTCATTGAAGTTAACAATAGGGTGCTCATCAGGGCACATTTCACCTGCACAAACTTGCTTTCGAGATGTCACCCAGCTACTCTGCCCAAGCTAACATCTTGGTTTGCTCACTAAGGTCTGCATTGTACAGAAGAATGACACCAAGAAAATGTACGCCATGAAATACATGAACAAACAGAAGTGTGTGGAGCGTAATGAAGTGAGAAATGTGTTCAAAGAGCTGCAGATTATGCAGGGCCTGGAACACCCCTTCCTGGTTAATTTGTGGTAAGTCATTAGTACTTTATTTACACCTTTTTCCATTTATTAGGAGCCTGCCTCTCAGGGGGGCTGAGCTCTGATCGATGTCAGTTGCAGCTGGGACTGCTCAGCAACTCCGAAAACCGAGGAGGTTTGTTTCTTTTTAAATCCCTGTTTATAAAAAAAGCTATGTTTCTATAAGATGTATTTTTGTTTCTTTTGTGGCTATTCTCCAGGGGTATCTCTGCCTGCCCGTAACCCAGTTTTATTTGACCCAGCTCCTTGATAAAAACAACAGCTTCCATTTCTAGCTCGAAATACAGTTGGACTCAGATTCAAACGGTGCTCCCATAATGGGGCCCCCTTCCAGCTCCTATTTAATTGAATAGATACCCACTGGCCTGAGGCAGCAGGTGCCCACTCCTTCCAGTTTTATTCCTTTCACAGTGGAAGCTGCCATGTCTTGCCTGGCAAAGTACAAATGCAATAGATTTTGCCCTGAGCTTTCTTTTTGCTGTGAAACAGTCACCTTTTGTGCCAAAGGGCCTTGGTGGATACCAAATGGGTTAGACAATCACTGACTTCCCAGACATACAAAGGCTGAATATAGTCTTTAGAAAATTGACACGATTTGCTTCCTCTGTGGCATTTATAATGCACCAGTTTACAATAAATGAAACTTGATCCTGCGAGGTGCAGAGCACCGATAACTCCCACTGATTTCAACTCTGTAGGATTGGGCCTCTCAAGCTATTAAACAAGCACCAGCCCCATGGCTGGAAGAAAGAAACATTGCTGGCTTTTAATGCAGTGTGCGTTAACTTCCTGCACTAATGTGATTGATAGCCTTGGTGAAAGGATTGGATGTTATTCAAACTGGCTCCCTCTTGGCAGCAGATAACCAGAAATCTAATATTAAAGAGTGGGGTAGAAGTATGCATCGCCCACTAAGTACCTCGGTAGATCAATCTTAATCTCGATCAATGTTGGTCTCCATCTCTCCTGTCCTTCCCTTTGCTCCCCACTGCCTCCCAGTTGCTATTTTGTGGTTTATTCTGTGCCATCAAAAGTCTGTCTTAAAACCTTATTGATATTTGCTGAACTAATGCTATTCAGCAAAGATAAAAGCCTTTGTTTGGTGGATTTAGTGACAGAAAAAAAAATCCACCACAATTCAGATTTTATTTCAGAAACTCAGATCTCTCCTTGGAAAATGTGCGCATAAAGCAGTCTCTTTCCTTTAAGCATACTTGATCAATGCATCCTACACAGTCTGTTTTCAGTGGTTTGCCAGCCATCAGCACTGGGATTGATCAACACAATGATAAGACATCTTAATCCCTCCATCTTCGTTTGATTCAGCGTGTTTTCCTGCAGTAGCACAGTGGAACGAAGGTTTAAATAAGGCTCTGTTACTGTTAAAGCTAGGTAATAATTTTATTAGGACATCAGTAACATTTCCAATTGTCAGGGGCTTAGATATCATGTGACTTTCCTTTAATTACATAGCAACTTAATAGAGTCCACTGGTAAATAACATACAACTAGAAGGTCTCTGCAGGATACTGGGTAATTACACTTATTAGCTGTAAAGGTAATTTTCGAATGGGGTAAAACATTCAAAACAAAACCCAAACCCACAGGAATCTTGCCTGGTTACTTGGAGTTTTGAGTTCAAAACTCAAAACCCACTGAGATCACACATTTTTGGAATGATTCTGAGTTTATTTATGGTTTCTTATTGAAATCCTCTGAGATATGTCGTTTCAGTGCTAAAGCAGGTGAAATGTAATAATTTTGATGGACAGAGAACTCAAAGCAGAACTCAGCCATGCAAACCCAAGTAGCTCAACATGAAAGGTGATGTTTATGCATAGACCACTCCAAAGCAAAACCTCGGAGTTTCCCATTTCTCTTGTAATTATGGTTACCTCCAGCTCCCATGTGGCCACATCCCCAAAATGTGACTGCTAAGCTTTGCTTGTGAACCATGGACCACATTTTTCACTGGATTATTTTGGTTGCTTGGTTTTGGTGATGCTTGCTATTCTATCAAATTGATGAGATACCAGCATGAATAGCCAATAGAAGGATGCTGCTCACAGCTGATCAATAGAGTTGTCTTGTGGGATACTTGGGAAACCTTATGCGATAAATGAAGACATCCAGTGGAGCTACTTAAACTGGAGCAGTAAATAACATATGCATCCCCTAACTATCTGAGCAACTGGTACTGCTCTATTAACAAGGTCTTGGGAACCAGTCTCAGAAAATGCATGTGAATTAATCATTCCTATACAAATCCAAACCTTACTTGTTGTGTTAATTGTGATTTTGAGTGCAGCCTTGTACACCACCTTATGGCTTCATGCTGTGTCATCTTCCTGATTTTGATAGGATTTTTTGGGTCTACATAGGAGGAGACAGGGTAGCCCATCATAATTGGTAGAGAGAAGCCAAAAGCAGGTACACTGCCAGTTCAGAGCTCAGGCCATATTGCTAATGACATGCTGCTTTTCCAGTAAACCAACCAGCTGGGGCTTAACACCGTTATCTGGGGAAATGGCATCCCTTTCCCCCCCTCAGGCTTCCAAGATATAGGAGTATTTGGGGTCCAGACAGCCTGGCTTTTACCGCCACTTTTTACCTAGCACCATCAAAGTAACTGCATTGGTGACTTGTTACAACTGCACCAGGGTATAGTGATCAGCAGTAGCCTGTTTACAGGTTTTTGTGTTATTCCCTAGTGCCTCCTGAGTGTACGTGCAGAATAATAACAGTAAAGTTCTCCAGAATGGATTTCATAAATAGAAACATTTTATTAGCTGATATAGATTTGCTGGCATCAATTCCTGATTACTGGAAAGAGGGAACAAATGCCTGTTGTATCTTGCATGGGGCTGTAGGAAAGGTTTGTAGGCCAAGCCTCCCAAAATAAGGGTGAGTTTAGGGTTCTACTCTGAACCTAAAACAACTGCACAGGTCCACAAATATGCAGCGGATCTAGGCTGTGCTGTTCAGTCAGACCAGCCCCACTACCTGCGCGATACGCACTCCCTGAGCTGCCAAATCAGTTTGCTCCTTCTCCCCTTGCCTATGTTGCCTGGTTGGGAAGCGAGGCCATGCCTACGTCCTGGTGGCTTCCTCACTTGCCCTCACTGGACACTGGGTGGCCACTCCCTCTGCTACATAGTTCAACCTCCTCCCACCCCTCCCCAAAGGGAGTAAAAACATTTGAAATGTTGCTGTTGTTACTACTACTGACAGCTACACTGAGATAGGGACATATATAACCCACCCCACCTGGGCTGAAAGCAGGGTTTGAACCAAGGAACTACTTGTCTAAAAGCACGAGCCTCTAGCACATGAGCTAAAGGACTTGTGTCCCATAGCTAGCAGCAGTAGCAGTGGCCCGGTCAGCAGAAGGGGACAAAGAAAAACCCTTCCCTGATGGGAGAGAGGCAGATACTCCTAGTATGATGGCTAGTGGCTCTGGGCATCCTAACACAGTTCCTAGGGAATGCCCAGTACTCCCCACATACCATAAAAATTACAATGTGTCTGTGTTTTATTACTCACTGTGTTGCAGCCCACATGACCCAAATTCTACAGGATTTACCTACCTCCTATTATGTACTGAATAGCAAAAAGGAGATGGATCACAAGCATCTGCATCTCATGCAGGAGTGCTGGAACAATTCGTATAGTGGGGGTGCTGAGAGCCATTGAACCAAACTGCAAACCCTATGTATGATAGAAACCACTTCAGGCCAGAGGGTGCACCCCCAACACCCTTAGTTCCAGCACCTCTGATCTAATGGCCATGTTCTTTAAGCTAATGCTGTCAGAGCGGGAAAGATAGAAAGGGATTGATCCAATTTCATAACACGCTGAGGACTTTGTCGAGGATTTGGAGAGAGATTACCTAAAGTAGACACAGACAAGAGAAATATCCGACTTCCCAACCTAAATAAACTTGGCTGAGAGCCCTGCTGACAAATAAGGCCTGAAGGGCTTTCAAGATCAGCGGGTGGAAAGATGACTTTTGGGGCTGATTGGTTAGTGAGGAGCCATTGGCTCTCTTTTTTAGCATAGACACCGAGGTTGTCCTGTACTGTTGCACAGACTGAAGAACCCTGTATGGAGCAGCATTGACAAGCACCAGCTGAATTGCTCACTGGACTTCTCTCTTACAGACCTTTTTCCCAACAGAATTTTTTTTGTCCTCCGTAAAGCTAATCTGAGTCACACTCCAGATATGGTAATAATGCCGCGTTGCTAGTGGATAAGTAGATACACCGCAAAACTGCCCTAACTGGAACCCTCATTGGCAGTCCCAGCAGAGCCAAAGACTGAAACCTCCTCTCCACAGAGGTAGTGCCATCAAAACAGCTTTCGGGCAGGCTCTGAGGAAAGTTTGCACTGCTACTGCCTGTTCTGTACGTGTTCTGTGGCGCAACACTGGACTGCCTTGTCCAGCTGCAACTTCTTGCAAGCATAACATTCACTTAAAAACCCCTTCTTTTAAAAGGAAAAAAGTGACCATGATCAGCCACTCTTAGAGGCACACGTGTGTGTTACAGAGCTTTTTGTGACACACAGTTTTACAGTGATTTAAGCCTTCCAATATGATGAAGATTTACACCACTCTGCTGCCTGGTTTGGTTGCTGAAGTTTGTGCAATCTGCTTTGCTTTTTAAGCAAGACAGAACCTGATTCAGCATCCTATTTGCTCATGCTGTTTCCTGGGGGGGACTCTCTTGGCACGAGAGCAGGCATTTTTCATCTCTCTATTCAGGAGCCTGCTGTGAGCACTGGCTGCTCAGCATCTGGAAAGTATTGGTAACTTGAGCCATCATTTTTACTCCCCGTATTGTAGGCAGAGCTAACAATACCCGTAGTTAAGGTTGCCTGGCACTTTCATTCTAAAACTTTGTTTTCAGTTACTTTTAACTTTGCCCAACTTCAACAGTTTGGGCTGAAATTCCCCATGCTGGACGTCTGCCTCATGCTGAATTTTTTAGGAAAACTTCAGGAAAAATGGTCCAGACTTTGAGAATGAGGTTGGGGGACAAATACATTGTTTGGTGCATTCTGGTTTTTTTAACTGCTTTAGCTGAGAAACTCTAATGCCTGCATGCTTTGGAGCAGGGTCTTGACATTTGGCAGGGTGTGGCCTTTGTGTCAGTGAGGTGCTTTTTGCCATCCCTGTGCCAGTTTGTCCAAATTTGCCCATGTTATAAGACTTTGAAAAATATCAGTGCATGCATGTTTAGTCAAGGCTGGCTAGAGTTTATCAATGAAATTCTCTAAAGACTGCTTCAGCCCCGAGGGACAATGACTGAGCAGGATTTTCTCTGCAATTGCTGTTCCTGGCTAATGTGAGCCATGTTAGGAATTAAGAGGCTGAGATTTTCAGGGAAAGGTTGATGTTGATGGTGGAGCTAGCAATATAAAATCAATGTGTTGTGCATTTATCCCGTCATAGTTAGCTGATGAGCTGCAGTTCATTAACAAGGTCAGTACAACAGTCCTGCTGACTTCAGCATTGATGCTGTTGCACAAACTAAATAGAGTAGACAAATAAGGACAAGCTGATGTCAAATCCCATGGTTTGGAAGCACAACTGAGGCTGAGGTGGGGTTGAGAGTTTAGAGGCAAATGGGACGGGACATTGACAAAACAGGGAATCCATGTTTGCCAAATGGAAAAGCACAAATTGTTAAGAAAAAATGTCAATTTCCTAAGCCCCTAGGGCACTATGGAGAAACTACCCAAAGCATTTAGCTATGTCCAGTCAAACATGCAGAATTTTTGCATTTGAGCTTTCTTTCCTGTCTGTAAGGACAATGGGCTGATGACCTGATCCTAAGCAGAATAATTACTGTTCACTCCCACTGCTTTTAAAAGAGACAGAACTTTACCCAAATGAAATGCCTACTTTTTACTATGTAAAAAAAGCATCCTTCTACTTCAATGTTTGAAACAACTTTTCATCTAGAAAAATGGCTTTTTAATACTTTTCAGTCACAACTTTACGCTGCACTTTATAACTATTAAGTGTCCTCACAACACCACTATGAAGTAGGTAGTAATTTAAAAGATGGAGGAATCAGGCAGCTAATTTAGGTAACTTGTTCAAGGCTACTGGGGAAGTCAGTATTAGAACAGGGATGGCTTTCATTCCCAGGGCCAGACATCTCCTTCTCCTATTAAAATTAGATGGCACCTTTCTGTTTAAGAAAAAAATTGGCATGTTGTTGCCTTTTAGACTATCACCTTTGATGGCATCTGTAACAAGTAGCTAGTCTATGTTTTTCAGATGTATGTACACAGCACAATGATGTGGCACTCTCTGTATTCTTCTGCCAGTATTAACTCAGGGGCACCTGCACAGTATGAACTGCTGCTGTGTCCCTCTCTCACTGGGTGTAGTTAATTGGATAACCAAACAGATATGCCCAGATCAATCCAGTCATGAAATTGCCACAGAAATGTAAATAGAAGTGTGTGTAATTCAGCCATAATTACATATACCGGTATGCATTGTGCCTTATTGAAATTAAAGAACACACTTTGAAAAATAACAGTATTGTCAAGGTCTCTTTTCAATTTGTTAAAAATATTTTTCCCTTCTTCCCTAAAATAACTCTTTGGAAGCTTGAAAACAAAATCTGCTTCTCTGTTGATCTTCCCTCCCTTCCGACATTTGTGAATGAACCAGCACAAGGCTGATTTATTATTTTACGGTTGCTCATAAGCACTGGATTGTTGACCCTGAGTATTACTTTCTTATTTAGAAATGATGACAGCTGTGAACCAATTCCTTTTTCAAAAATACATGTATAAAGATGTATAAAGATGTACAGAGATATTTAGAGAGAGACAAAGTCTTCATCAGTAATCAGTACATTTATCTCAAATCTGATTAGTGTTAATACTATGAACTTACATACAGTATCAGACACAGACATTGATCTAATTTGAAAAATTAGGGACCCAGTCTCATGAGATGCTGAATGCCCTCAGCTCAGCAGGATTGCAAGAGTTCGCAGCACCATTCTGGATTGGGCCCATAGGCTAAGTCTACACTGCAATTAGACACCCTCGGCTGGCCTGTGCCAGCTGACTCGGGTTTGGGCTGCAGGGTTGTTCCATTGCAGTGTAGACCTCCGGGCTCTGGGAGCCTTCCAGGTCACAGAGTACTAGAGCCTGGGCTCCAGCCTGAGCCCAGAAGTTGACACTGCAGTGAAACAGCCCCGCAGCCCGAGCCCTGCGAGCCCGAGTCCGCTGGCATGGGCCAGCCACGGGTGTCTAATTGCAGTATAGACATACCATGTGTCTGTAAAACGTAGTCTAGTCCACACATATGAGTGGGAGTGACAAAATCCCATATAAGTATGTAGCAGTATAATAATTTTGGTCAGATGTGGCGGTTGAGGGCAGCACTTTTGATCCCTTTTCCTTTGAACGTTACCTCTCCTGAGTCAAGACTTGGCTGTAGCATGGTGTTTTTGCTCTCTCAGGTACTCATTCCAAGACGAGGAGGACATGTTCATGGTGGTGGATCTTCTTCTTGGAGGGGACCTGCGTTATCATCTACAGCAAAATGTCCGATTTCAGGAAGGCACTGTGAAACTCTTCATCTGTGAACTGGCATTGGCACTAGACTATCTCCAGGGTAGACACATCATCCACAGGTCAGTCGGGGCTTCAAAGGTGGGTTGATGTTGACATTCTGTTGTTGTGTCTTGTTACGCATTACCTTATGGCTGAGGCAGAACCAATGGAGGTAATTTGTTTTAAACTGTAGCTATGAGAAAAAGACGTCAGCTTGTTACTGAATATCTCTGAGTCACAGCTGCCAACTTTACTCATTTTTGATGCCATCCCCTAAGTGGAGCAAGGTGCATTCCATTCTGCCTCATGCATGATTGCTACAAAGTTAATCACATTTTGATTAATAATTTTTATGGCTGATGATATACGAAGCAGAAAGAACACAGCTTGATTTTCTGTTAGCAGGGGAGCCTGCTCTGTTAGTTGTAAGAAAAACGTTTGAATTTGTAAACTGAGGTAATTTGATAGGGAAATCATTGTTGGAAAGTAAATGGGATCATGGTCAGAAAATAATACCTACCCACATGTATGGTAACTTTTACTTGACAACCTCCGAGTGCCTTACAAAGGAAGTATTTTTATCTCTTTTTTACACAAAGGGAAATTGAAGCCTAGTGAGGTTAAGCAACTTGCCCTTTATCCTACAGAAGTCAGTAGCAGAATCAGGAGTCCTGACAAAGGTTTCAAGTTCTAACCACTTGTCCATGTATGGGTCCAAGTTGCATTGTTTTGAACTGTTCTTTGGCCAACTTTTCTTGGTTCAGGTCTTTCCCAGCGCTCAGGTTTGGGAAGCACTTTGGAGGCAATGTATATCTATAGGAATTAGAAGTGAAAAAGGTATGTTAAGTCATCTGCTTCATTCCTCCCAGGTCAGTGTGGGTTACATAGCTTCTAAAACGTCTCCCATCATTCAACAGTGAAACTTGTAGGAGCATGGACATTGTGAAAGAAGTCTTTTCCAGGCTGCCTTGGCTGGGAGGAGGGTGCCCATGATGTGGAGCATCAGGATGAGGTAGAGAGTCCAAGCGAGAGGAAATGTTCTAGTAAGGGATATAATAACAATATTCGTCTGTCTTGTCCCTCACTGATGTGGAAGGAGAAGCAGAAGCTTAGGGACAGGGCAGAAAACTCACATTTGTGTCTTCCTGAAATCTTTTCTTAGGGAAGTTTTAAGGTTTTACATATTTCTAATGCGGAGAGCACGTTATTTCCCTCCCTTGGGCAGATACCATAGAATATTTTTCCACTCACCCTGCAAGAAGATATGACTACTAGATTTAATTAGCTCCAGCTCCTCAATGTCAGACCTATCCATTGAAGGAAATGCAGTGGAGAAAAGACATCTCTATTGGGATCTCTGTTGTATTTGAAGTTGTAGACAGCAGGGCTAACTCTGTGTAACAAACAGAAGGAATAGGAATGGAAATAGATGCCCCTTCTCCTATATATGAATTAAATGCCTCTCTCAATGTTGGGAATTTCTCACTGGAGTTTGTGCATGGCCAATGAAGCACAATTTGTGTTCCTCCGACCAATGAAAGACCTTCTGCTATCTTATATCTTATAGGTGGTATGTCCATTAGCATGAATGGTAGCTCCAGTAGGATATGGGGTGGTAGTATATGGCAGAAGGAAACTGCCCCTGCGGTTCACAGGATACCACCTGCTCTGCAAGGTATCTATCACAAGGGGGGAAAAGAGAACTTTGATAACAGGTGATTTTTGAAGGGGACCTTGAATTTCCACATCTCTTGTTCTGGTTCCTTTCCTTTGCTTGCTTTATTCAGCTATGTTGGATGACAGGGAATGTTCAAAATTTGGAGGAAGTGATTTCTTGCTTTTAAAAATACCCATAAGAATAACAAAACTAATTACAGTCAGCCCTCAGGACCTAATTGCAACCATCCCTCAGAAGAATAATTTCATGGAAACTAATTATTACAACTGAACACTACCAAAGACGAATTTATATTTGTCTTTTAAAGTCTGATTTTAAAAAAAATGTATTCTTGACTGAATTACTAATGTGAGATTAAAAGATAGTTTATGCAATACAGGGAAGTGATAGGTCACCTTCCATCACAATCCCATTATGATTGATATTTGGTATCTTTAAGCCCAAAGAGGCAGTAATGTCAGGTTCCAAATGCAGACATTACTGGTGGGTTTTTTTTTTTAACTTCTGGAACAATGGTACAGCTTAATTAGACAACTAGTTATAAAAATACAGTAAATGTGATGCCAGAGGGTGAATCTGATGCCTTCCTTTTCTATATAAAACTCACTATTTTAAGCAAAATAATAGGAATTGGCCAATATGCTGCATTTGTACATCATGGCCATAGTCTCTGCTGGTATAAATGGATGAAACTCCGTTTAAGTCAACATTTCTATGAGCAGAGAATTTTTCTCTGTTTCAGTTTATAACAACATCATACTTCTATTACCTCTCATCCTGAATGATCACAAATATCTTTACAAACCTAATAATCTGATATACAAACTGTACACAGGGTTCAAGTCATTCTACATTGAAATGCAGCCACCACAGGGGAGAAGCACAGCTGCTGTTTGTTTTTTCAGTGCACAGCAAATAACGTGCAACAATTTAAGTCAGGAAGTAAAGGATCCGCCCTGTGCAATTACAATTGCTTTGGGAGCTTATGTAGGTGCCTAGATGCTACAGTGATCGGTAGAGGGGGGGAAGGCATAGAAGTACCAAGAGAGAAAAGTGAAAATGACCTAAAGTAAAATGTAGCTAGGATCTTGGGTAGCACCCTACTCTTGAGAACAGTGCTATGGAATCTTTAATAGCCACACGTTATCCAGACATCGTTTTTACAATTTATCTCACAGATACCACCTCCATCAACACACAGCTGCCTAATATCATGTTAGGACATTGGTTTGGTACTGACTGAGAGGAACGAGTGTCATCTACTGAATCACTAATGCCAGCCCCTGTGGTGCTCTGTGTGTTCCTTGGAGCTTTCAATAACTTTAATACAGGGATAGACCACCCTAATGATATCTTACATAAGAACGGCCATACTGGGTCAGACCAATCATCCATCTAATCCAGTATCCTGTCTTCCAACAGTGGACCGTGACAGATGCTTCAGAGGGAATGCACAGGACAGGGTAATTATCGAGTGATCCATCTCATCATCCAGTTCCAGCTTCTATCAGTGAGAAATTTAAGACCCCCCAGAACATGTGGTTGCATTCCTGGCCACCTGGGCTAATAGCTATTGAAAGAGCTATCCTCCATGAAGTTATCTAATTCCTCTTTGAACCCAGTTATACTTTTGGCCTTCACAACATCCCCTGGCAATGAGTTCCACAGGTTGACTGTGCATTGTGTGCAGAAGTACATCCTTATGTTAGTTTTTACCCTGCTGTCTATTAATTTCATTGGGTAACCCCTGGTGCTTGTGTTATGTGATACGGTAAATAACACTCCCTTATTCACTTTCTCCACGACATTCGTGATTTTATGAACTTCTATCATATCCCTGCTTAGTCATAGAATCATAGAATATCAGGGTTGGAAGGGACCCCAGAAGGTCATCTAGTCCAACCCCCTGCTCAAAGCAGGACCAATTCCCAGTTAAATCATCCCAGCCAGGGCTTTGTCAAGCCTGACCTTAAAAACCTCTAAGGAAGGAGATTCTACCACCTCCCTAGGTAACGCATTCCAGTGTTTCACCACCCTCTTAGTGAAAAAGTTTTTCCTAATATCCAATCTAAACCTCCCCCACTGCAACTTGAGACCATTACTCCTCATTCTGTCATCTGCTACCATTGAGAACAGTCTAGAGCCATCCTCTTTGGAACCCCCTTTCAGTTAGTTGAAAGCAGCTATCAAATCCCCCCTCATTCTTCTCTTCTGCAGGCTAAACAATCCCAGCTCCCTCAGCCTCTCCTCATAACTCATGTGTTCCAGTCCCCTAATCATTTTTGTTGCCCTTCGCTGGACTCTCTCCAATTTATCCACATCCTTCTTGAAGTGTGGGGCCCAAAACTGGACACAGTACTCCAGATGAGGCCTCACCAATGTCGAATAGAGGGGAACGATCACGTCCCTCGATCTGCTCGCTATGCCCCTACTTATACATCCCAAAATGCCATTGGCCTTCTTGGCAACAAGGGCACACTGCTGACTCATATCCAGCTTCTCGTCCACTGTCACCCCTAGGTCCTTTTCCGCAGAACTGCTGCCTAGCCATTCGGTCCCTAGTCTGTAGCTGTGCATTGGGTTCTTCCGTCCTAAGTGCAGGACCCTGCACTTATCCTTATTGAACCTCATCAGATTTCTTTTGGCCCAATCCTCCAATTTGTCTAGGTCTTTCTGTATCCTATCCCTCCCCTCCAGCGTATCTACCACTCCTCCCAGTTTAGTATCATCCGCAAATTTGCTGAGAGTGCAATCCACACCATCCTCCAGATCATTTATGAAGATATTGAACAAAACCGGCCCCAGGACCGACCCTTGGGGTACTCCACTTGATACCGGCTGCCAACTAGATATGGAGCCATTTATCACTACCCGTTGAGCCCGACAATCTAGCCAGCTTTCTACCCACCTTATAGTGCATTCATCCAGCCCATACTTCCTTAACTTGCTGACAAGAATACTGTGGGAGACCGTGTCAAAAGCTTTGCTAAAGTCAAGAAACAATACATCCACTGCTTTCCCTTCATCCACAGAACCAGTAATCTCATCATAAAAGGCGATTAGATTAGTCAGGCATGACCTTCCCTTGGTGAATCCATGCTGGGCTGTTCCTGATCACTTTCCTCTCATGCAAGTGCTTCAGGATTGATTCTTTGAGGACCTGCTCCATGATTTTTCCAGGGACTGAAGTGAGGCTGACTGGCCTGTAGTTCCCAGGATCCTCCTTCTTCCCTTTTTTAAAGATTGGCACTACATTAGCCTTTTTCCAGTCATCCGGGACTTCCCCGGTTCGCCACGAGTTTTCAAAGATAATGGCCAATGGCTCTGCAACCACAGCCGCCAATTCCTTCAGCACTCTCGGATGCAACTCGTCCGGCCCCATGGACTTGTGCACGTCCAGCT